CAGCTTAAAAAAAACCTAGTAACAAACATACAAATAAATCAACAAACGAACGAACAAACTTATAAAATATATGTAGTACAAATGTAACTTGTGTTCTATTGATTGTCGGTGTCTCTTTTTTTGTATTGTGCATGCTGTCCTATGTCTTTCTTCAACGACGTTTGTTACCGCGTTGGTATCGCCCCATTTTGGGCTTGTCAATTGACAATACTATTTCCTCTTTTTGATATATGTCAACTATCAACACTGTGAAGGCAAATATGTAACGGAAAATAAATTTTTCCGGTACCAATTCAATCATTCAAAAAGCATATATACACAAACGATGATTAAAACCATCGTCAATGTGAACACAAACTTCACATATGCGTTCTTCTAGAAGGCATCACTATCTGTTATAAATAAACTTCGCAACCTCATCTTTATCAAACAAGTTCCTGAAAACAAATACAAAATACTAAATATATATAGAACGGTTAAATTTTTATGCTTCAAGTTGGCTCGCCGAGTTATTTAAATACTTAAATTTTAACTGTCGAGAGTACAGAACTATCGTATTCCACGAGATTCCATGGCAGAATCTGTTTTTCAAATAAGTTTTAAATGATGTGAAGACACAGTTCAATGATCTGTAAAAAAGATGTGTTCTTTCTTTCTGACGTCATGATCAGAATAAAAATTAATAATCAGTAGGGAAAAGAATAATTCGGGTAGGAGTTAGATTGATTGATTGATTGTTGGTGTTTTAACGCCACTTTTAAGCGCCACATTTGGGCTATTTCGAAGCGGCCTGTTTTTATTGATGGAGGAAGCCGGAGTGCCCGGAAAAAACCACCGACCTTCGATAGGAAAACTGACAATCCTAGTCAATTAAGATTGGAGTCGAGTGCATCCGCACGAGCGGGGCTCGAGCTCACAACATCAGTGTTGACTGGCTAGTGATTATAGTAGTAGAACTACTTAGACCACTTGGCCACCGAGGTCACCCTCGTAGGAGTTAGCTAGAGAAATCAACTTGGGTTTATTTGGAATGAAAGAAACAATAAATCTTACGTCATTTATTATATTTCAATTCGCTTTTATGAATTCAAACAGTAAATGTAATTGTTCCTGATTTCGCCCAATGATGGTTGCATTGCTCTTTTCATAATTTTATACATTAGTACTAGTCTAGGGCACATATTGTTTTGCTCAAATCCTGCGATTTTTGTCAATTTCAGAAATAAATTTATATTATATAATTGACAATCAAATGTCTCTTTACTTCTAGAAAAGGGCGCTCATTTTAGCTTATTTTTTCAGAAGCACTGTTCAATGATTCAACAGCATATTTGATCGAAATACAAAAATAAAATAATGAATATCTAATAACAAATATTCGTTTCATGAGTACTAGTAAACATTGTATATGCATTGGTGCAAGCATTTTGTGTTGCCATTCATCACTAAGAATCTTGTATTTGATTCTTGATTTTTGTTGTTGTGGGGATGTATAAGTACAATGCCACGTTTGGTGTGTGTTTTTGTTAGATGCATTTCTGCTTTGTATCGATCTGATGAGTTAAGCCCTTTCCAACCGATTAGAGTTGTCCTATTGGCAGTTATACCACATCTTCTCTTTTTTTATATTCAATTTGTAGCATAAAAAAATGTAAATATAATAATTGAATACTTCTTTTTGTAATTTTATAGGGTTGTAAAAGCGTTGATCGTTTTCACATTTTAAGAAAGAAGCATTTACGCGTTTCATACAAAATCTGCCTCGGTTAACGCATTTACACTGCATATGTTTGTTAGTTTTAGTGCCCTATACCATGATCTTTTAACAATGAAAGCAAACTGTTTAATAACGTAATACCGAACGCAAAGTTCAGTGTTCTCGTCGAGGTCTTTGTTCAATATGTAAACACTACTCACGAAGATGTGTAGATGAAAAAGGTAACCGTCATGAACATTTTCAATTTTCCCAATAAAAGTCACTTTTTCTACGATAGATTAACACAGTCATTTGATATTTAGTGCATAGTTATCTCATTTGAAATCATATCACATCTCTTTTTTTTATCTAGAATGCGACACTGACGTTTATATGAAAACATAAACAAATGTACTTGGCAAGAAATATTTTATGAAACCCCATTCGAAATTGATGAGATATTAAACACGTGCTTCATCATAGCATTAATGTTGGGGCAAATTAGTTAAATGAATATAGACACAGTTTGAAACACAACCTTTAATTTGTCATTTCGGGGTCTTTTATAGCTTGCTTTAATGATATGTGTTTTGCTTATTGTTGAAGGCCGCATGGTGACCAATAGTTACTTACTTCGACGTCATTTTATCTCTGGTGGAGAGTTGTCTCAGCATTTTATTCTTATAAAGTTCTAATCTAAACACAAAGCAGCTAAGTGGTTTCTTAAGAAAACATATACTTACCGATCAAAGACCTTGATGACCAAAAATAATTCAAAAGTATTATAACAGCAACTTATATTCAAATACATTATATTAAATAATATAATTTAACATATATCGGGAAATATTTCATGCAAACCATTTGGAGCCGAATATTCAACGTGCTTTCACAAGGTAACATGTTACCCTACCCGGACACATTATTTTGACTCAGAAATGACAAACAAGTCTTTGCTCTAACGGGAATAGAATCACTTAACTGGGCAAGTTCACCCCTTGCTGAAATTTTCATATGAATATTTAAACAAAAGTATATGAACTTGAAATAAGAGGGCGTATTTTACCTCTTGCTAAGATCAGAAGTTCCGGTTTTGTACTACCAAATTTGGAAACTTCTTGGAACCAGTGTACTCCATGAGAAGGCCTAAGTTTAAAACAGTATTAAAACTTAGGACAAAATAGCAAAACATGCTTGAAATTGCAGAATTTAACATACATGCTCCTACATTCATGCTTAGCAAACACTTCATATGTCTTTTTGGCATGTGTCTAATCCATTTGTGTCTATGCAAGTAAGATCTGGTTACAGTAAGAGATTTTTTGTAGTGTGTGTTATTGTTTAATCCAAAAAGGGGCTAAAAGAAAATAACTTTTATTTTATGAATACAGCTTATCAAATCAATTCAACAGGACTGGTGTAAAAGAGTGATTAAGTATCTAAAATAAATATGTATCAAATTTTAATAAGATGTCAATATCTAAATTACAATATAGGCTAAGTAATAAGTATCTTGAACTTGCTTTCAGTAACTACAGAGAATTATATGTTAGTCCTTTTTAACTGCGTCTTGTTATATTTTATACCAAAAAAAAAAGGGTGAGTTATATTGTTTTTAATTTGGATCTAGAAAAGTCGGCATACATTTTTTTTCCATTGTTAGTTGCATTAGTACTTCGATATTCCATTTTCTGTAATTGGTATAATTAGAAATATTTCCGCGGATTTGTACAATTTACATCCGAATTACCCAAAACAAGTTTGATTTATGAAGACCTCTTTATAAAATCAATTCTAGGGATTAATATGAATATTTGAAAAAAAAATTGAATATTAATTAATCATTTTCCAAGGGACATCACTCTGTTTTTATGTAATAAAACGCTGCTGTCTGCGCTGCTGTAGATTTCTGTTGCCTGATTAGAATTACACGTACAACATATTTTTTTTTTATAAATTCATTTCTTCAATAAATACTCATGAAAATATTTTTAAGAACATAAATAAATAATATGAAAATGCTTGTCGTGAGAAATATGTATACATAAGTAAAACAAAATCATTAATATCTATGCACACGTACCGAAAATTGTGTTTGCGGATGAATATCTCTTATCGCTAGAAAAATTCGGAAAAAGCAACCTAATGTTCAAAAGAAAAATAACGAGATGACTCCCTTTTAAACATATTACAAAACACTATATAAAAAACTAAAAATTAAGCACAACGAACCCAAATTGAGTAAGCACTGGTGCGTCGGAAGGATGAACAGTTCCTGATAAACTTATGATAATTGTATTCTGTAAAAAGACGTTGCAAAAATGATTTTTTTTGTTATCAAAAGGGGATAATAGCAAAGACCAAGATAGTCATGTTTATTTATAAATAAAATTCCATAACGGTCATGAACATCATAATGGCAGCACATCATAATGGCATCCATTAATTATTAAATGCAATGATTTCAACTTCAGTGAAATTCTTCTCACGAATCGTCTAACAAGACAAGAAACACAATCCCTAGAATATCGTATGAAGTTGGAGATGTAGGTGCTGTTGATATATCATGTATGTTGCTACATAAAAAACGAAAATTCACAATAGAAAAATAAATTCATTTTCAAAATAATATAGATTGCCAGACAACACACAGATCAATTTTTATAGATAAAGCTTTTTATTCGTGTTTTCTGTTCTCGCTTAACACATTTAAATGACCTGGTACTACAAACGGTAACAGGTCATTCTGGAAACACGTGTTATGTCGTGTGCAGTATAATATAGTACGTTTATTATATACCAATTTGTCAGTATCGCTTCTCTTTGACTGGTAACCACGAGAGTACCACATACACAAACTACAGTGCTTCGATACCGGCATTGATTCTATGATACATGCGCTCTCTGTTTTCAATTAATAAATAATATAACAGAAGAATAACTAAGGTTACAATTTCGTCCGGTGTTGTTGACTTTATACATTCAATTTGTTGTCCTGTCAAATTATTTAATTTTTATATATTTTACACATTTATACTCATTTTATGTAATGGGTGTAATAACAGAAAGAAACGTGTTATCATGTGACATGAAAATGATCAGACGTTCATATTATGTTGGTGTTGTTCCTAAACAACATAATTTAGGGATGTGTTATAACAAAAGAAAAAAAATCTATGATGGCCTTATTACAAACTTTCACAATTTCAAAATAATCATCAAATATACAAAACAATTATTCATACAGCATTTTTGTTCACATTTCAGTTTACTAAATAGAGTTCACTGTTCACAAGTTTTTTGTTTAAACAATTTTAGACTGTCCATTTTGCCGTCTCTTTGATCTGAAGTATATCGACATCCCAACCAAAATGGCTACCATTGCCACTGCTACAACGACGACTCCAACGACATACAAAGGCTTGTTTCCCTTGTTTCCTTCTTCCTGCTTATTTCCTGCATTTAACGCCTCTGGACCTGTTATAATTTAAAAGCAAACATTGAGTTCCGACATCCAACAATAGTTTTGTTCCGAGATAAGGTTTTCTTCCCGTATCTAATCTAATGTCATTCACACCAGTAACGTGATTAATGTACTAAATTGCTAAAAGCGAAATGTGATACCAATGCAGGTTTTTTTTAAAAGTCCGTCGGTATATTTCAAAAACCTTATGTACAAAATTAATGTGATCTACATGACTTCTTAAATTTTTCATAATTTTAACATATCAATCAAAATTTTTAAAATCCCCTTGGATACATTAGGAAATTATTAAAAAACTAAGTTTCTACCTCACTCAGCCAAAATTGTCCTTGGACAATTTGGTTACGCTTTTTCAGTTTGAATTTGGATATATGGGTCCTAACTTTGTACTTGTATATACATCCCTGGTTTTAAGATGTTTAGGTCTGAACGTTCCTGAAGAAGGCAAATCCGCGTTTCGGACGCACGAAATTTAAAAAATGCCATTTTCATTTAAAATGTATGCCTATATCCCCGTATCGTTATTGATTTTTTTTAAATTAACCAATAAACTACTTCGTTCGTTAAACGTGTACCTTATATGTTTGTATCCTTGATTTGTCTTCTTAATCAATTTAAAAAATTTGAACATCGGTACCTAAGTTAATAGTTTACCTACCCCTTTTTAATGTTTTCAAATTTCGTAAACCAACTTGCCTTTCCGAAAGAGAAGCGTGGCTTCATCTTCAGCATAATCAATTGGTCCAACACCTTCAATAGGTTCATCATCTTGATCTATACTCCCGACTCGCTTCCTGTTGCTACAACGTGGCTCACAGTCACTCGAATAGTCATTGCTATGACAAAATGTGGCATTGCAATGAACATACATTGAATCAGGGTGGAAGGCATACTCGAAGTCCTGGAAGTGGAATCTTGTCTCGTGTGTAGTCTTGGTAGTGATAAAGGCATTAGGTTCGGCTGGACATCTGTCAAAGCACATATATTATGGTAAATCATAGAGGTTCTGTTCATATTTAATTGACAAATACATTAATAATAGCATGTTTAATGGCTGTTAAAAGACATGAATGAATTTTTGCAAGTTTAAACGGTTTTCGTAGCGGTATTATCACGTCAAGCAAACATGCGCATGTTGATTAGTTGCATAAATTAGTTGATTTAACCGGTTGATATAAAACTACTTGTAATATTACACATTCACAATTCTTTTTAGGAATACATTCTGTGGTACTAAATGTAGACATAGATTGTAAAACTAACTGTTTTATTCTGTTTCTTTATAAGATATGTGTTCGCATGTTTTTGAAATAAAAAAAAAAAATAATAATATATTTTTAAAATTACAATTTCTAAATGTTTATATATGTTTTGTGTTTAATAAAATACTGTCCATATTGATATATAATAACGTGAAATCAACACCAGATGTATGAATGTAAAATGCTGGAATCACTTGCCATTTACAGCTAGTTGAAGTGCAGTTATATAATTGTGTATATCTATCCACCTCAGACATCCAACAGTCGTTTTGTGACTTTATGTCGTTTGTTATAATTTTTCTTACCCTTCCATATAAAATTAGATTTGTTAACTCTTAGATAAATTCATGTTGTATGCTAGATATGTCAGGTTTCGTATATAAAGATAGTTCAAAATTTATAAATTTAGAATTATTCGAACCACTTTAATTTCCCTACTCAAGACATAGATTGCCATAGCCGAGATCTTTAAGAAATGCGTTTTTATGTCTTCAAGTTAATTTGAAAACTCTTGATGTTAGAATCTTGCCTTATTCTGCAGGACAAAATGACTACTATTGCTGTAGCTAAAATCAGATGTTGCCGGATATTGAGACCCAACTATATTTCAACAGTTCTGACCCCATCTTCTGAAAGTTGTTGGAAATCAGAATTCCGTGAGCGCTTCATACATGAAGCCATTCAATGTTTTACCTTTAATCAAAGTTACTTATCTCTGATGAAATCTTTTATCAACGTTTATAATAAATCTTACCCATTCCAATTAAATAGTGCATGCAATAAGTCTTACCCTTTTCTGATTAAATAGTCCATGTAATAAATCTTACCCATTTCTGATTAGATAGTAGATGTACACATCACTTGCTGATTTACTTGGTTTTGTGTAGCAGTTTGATAACCTCATTTTAACATTATAGTCATGGATTGGAGTGGTTGCCTTGACGTACACATTTTGACCAACCATGTAAGATGGAGGGAATCCATTGAATTCGTGTTGGAATTTTGAATCACTGAAGAACTTCAGTTGAACGACAAAATGTCCTACACCAGAAATGGTCTGTTGTTCTAAATTGCCATGGATGTTGTTAATGTTATTTTCTCCGGCTTCTTGTTTTGACATGTCACATTCGACACTTACACGAAACCTGTACTCGTGGACAATATATGGTTGGTTCGGATCGTGCACAGCGTAGACAAGTGTGTTTGTATAGATAACTCCATTTGCAGATGCCTGTGAAATAAAACAAGCTTCGTAAAAGAACGTAATAATCCTCACTCAATTGATAATATATTATATAAAAGTAATATCAAAATGACCATTGGCAGTATAAAAATAACAAACAAATATTATTAAATATAACTGTACCAAAAATAGCTTATTGTCGATTTTAGTAACATGCAAAATTGGAAAACATTACGTTAATACCCTACTCGCGGGATTGTTAAAAAAGACTTAAGTGTTTATTTTCCAGGCCAAATAAATTAAAATTCCAAAACCTAAGAGAACATTTTGAAGAGCTGATATAACAAACAACGAAGTTATTTTACCGTGTTGGTATGCATCACACCGATTTATTTTGTCACACGAAATACAGATGTCTAAAACATCTAGTTCTTTCAAGGGTGATATATGTCGCTAACTATTCATAGACCTAAGTTGTTTTCTTTACATTAATTTGTATCAATATTCTATGTGCTTTAACCGAATCGATAAAAGATACATCTCCTCAATCACGTTTCTGAATTTGGAACATTCCAACTAAAGATCGATGATCCTCCCAGGGTTCCTTCGATATAAATTATGATTTTACTGACGGTGGCATTCAACACAATCACTCAATCTATATGGGACAAAAGTCTGGTCAACAAGATCCTTGTGGGATTTAAACTAACATATATTACCTTCTATATATGTGTACAAAAATTCATATGTAGAAAAAAATCTTCATCGATAGCATAGGACGCCTACGGGTTATATATAATGTGAGAAAACAGGTCAGTTTAACAATTTGGCAAACGATCCTCTAGTTTCTAGATTTATAAAAAAAAATGTATTTCAAACTTCGACCAAAACAAAGACATACATAGTTAAACATTCAATTTAGACTGTAATAAGGGAAAACCATTGAATTAGTAATATTTCTGTTTCCTAACTGGTATTTTTCGATACTAATGACAGCTGAATTATCACCCTTTTTGCTATCTGATTCTGTAAAATATATCATATGAACCAATGAGATCAATGTCCGCTTATTAACAATCTGCATGTTCAATAAAAATCGCAATTTAGTAGATGCTTCTTCCGAATTAAAAAGTCATATTTATCAATGCACTACCTACAATCTTATTTGTTCCGCATGTTGTATAATCTTCATTGAAAATGAGGTAATCGCCAGATCGTGTTCCAGTACAACTGTGAGAGCCGAGGTAGACGTCGGTCTCTTTAAAGTCGGAATACTGTTGTTCCAATGGCGGTAGGTGGACTTTAACATACCAACTACTGTGCTGACAGTTAACAGTGATATGTTTGGCATTTGTTGATTCTGTTGAAAACAATAATTATTTAGACTTAGTTCATCGGTTATTTTTTATAGACAAATGAACTCTGTATTTCTCTTAAAAACAACAGCTGCTAAATATTTTATAATTGACACAAATAGTTTTCATTTGTTAGATGGAGTTGACTTTAAGTTTGATTCTTTGTTTTTTCTTTATTTGGATTTTCTTTATTGATTTCATGTGTTTAAAAAAGAGGCAAAGATAACAAAGGGGATGACAAAGGGTGTGATTTAAATGCCTTATTCTGAAAGCTGAACGATAGGGTACGATATTATATAATCCAAAAATTCAGATTTCATTTATACTGTCATTAATAAGTCGTATAACATTCATTGTAAAAATGCAATTACAATTTTGTAGTTTAACTGATTGGTAATTAAGCGTTCGTTTGTCACGTGAAATAATAATTGCCTCTTCGAATGCATACAGAAAATAAAACACAACATAGCGTTTCTTTGTATATCTCATTGTGAAGCAGAACACAATCGATTGTAAATGAAGAAAAAAATCCATCTACATTCTTCAGCTAAAGGCGAAAAACCTTCTTTTAACTGGAGATACAACCCCTATTCGATCAATATAAAGCCACCGTATCAGTTGATTCTCTACGTTTACAAGAATAGAAAATCCGATTTCCTTTATATTATTTACTAGCAAATACGTCATTATTTGCACTTGCTTCTCTATTTTATAGCCCGGAACAATCTTTTAACACAAACATATAAAAACAATGGCTAAGTTCATTGCATGTGTATCGGTATATACATGTACAGTGTTAATGAAACATTTGATGACAATCAACTGCTAATATGTACCTAAACCACCACAATTAACAGCTGTAGTTACCAGTTTGGGCAGGAAACCAGCAATATCGGAGTAGTTTGTACTTAAATAATAGTCATAGTTGTAGGCAAGATTTCTTAACACTTGTTCATTAATACTATCACCGATTCCAACACTTATAATTTTAGTTCCACCAGCTTTACATCGGTCAGCCTCTTGTTGGGCCTGTGATTGGCCGTCAGTTAACAGCACCAGGTAATTTGTGGCGTTTGACCTGTCTCCGTGTACGCTGGTAAACATATTACTGCAGGCATGGGAAAGTGCATCTGCAATGTCGGTACCTCCAGAGGAATATGGCATTGACATAACGCGATTCACCATGCTGTTAGGATCTCCGGGGTAAGTGTTAAGATTAAAAACTGTCCGGCTTGTATCGTCAAAGGTCATGACTCCGATTCGTATAAAATCTTTTCTGATATCAAGATGACGAATAGTATCCACAATGGAGGCTCTTGTTCTGTCAAAGTTAGTACTGCCTACACTTCCGGATTCATCAACAACGAAAATAACGTCAGCAGGAGAAGAAGTCACTGACTGACATCCTAAATAAAACAAATTAAACTTGACGTTATATTTTGAATCGGGTGCAAATCATAGGAAATCTGTTACACTTAAAATACAATAATAATAATCATAATCATATTCATATTCATAATCATAATCATAATCATAATTATAATATTAGTGCCCATCATCATCACCATCATCATAATCATCATCACCACTATTGGAAAAAAAATTAGTTTCAGGGCCAATCAAAACTGAAATTGACCATTCATTAATTAGTTGTGGCTAATAAAAAAAAATCCAATGATTATAAACACTCGTTAAAAATACCAGGCGTATGATTTCGTACGGAAGATGCGAGATTTGTCTTCATACGACTCATAAGTTGCGCGCGAAGCAAAATAGATGGATGGCCAAATCAATAACGAGTTAAAGAGCAATTTAATTCAAAGCTTTAGAAGGTTGCGTGATGCTACTTTTTACCTATAGTATAATAATCTGAGTGTTTTTTGTGTTTTTTTTTTTCATTTTATGAACACTTAAGTTACAGAAAATGATCATTACAGTTATATTTCATATACATGTAAAACGGTCATATAAATATGAGTGTGTGTTTTTAATAAACCTACCCGTTTTAAAGGGTACTGTTGCTGTTTCCTCAGTTGTTACTGAATCTGGAACAGAAAACAGAAATTTAACAAAAAGTATGTTTAACATTCGTCTTGGCTCCTTTTGGTTCACTGGTTAAAAACTCAAACAACTTATATCCCATCAAACCATTTGTGTACTGAAAGGAAATAGTTTCCACAGGTTGGAATAATCCTGAATTGACCTATCATCACAATTTATAATACGTATTACCTTCGTTCTCAAACCATACTGCAGAAATACAAATATTAGGAACACAAATAAGATGGCACCAGAAAAACGCTTGCGATGTTTTCTTGCATTAAAGAACCAAACATGCAATACAATTTATAAAAAAAGATAACTAAATGAAATGGAAATTAGATACAATAGAACAATAACTAACTCAAACTGAAAAAAAATTGATCTTTTAAGAATCATTGTGTGCCCCTTTGAACTAATAATTCAGTAAGCCCAGTCAGAATGATTTGATGGACATCTAGTTTGTGAGAATTATGTCAAGTTCTGTATGAAGATAAAAGGTTGATGTGAGTATAAATAAAAAATCACCCCAACCCACATACATATAACTAAATACAGTGGATTCATTATTATTCACTGTATACGCCTTTAAAAACTTAGATATCCACAAAAGATTAATTTCTTCTCAGTCATGGATAATTGGTACCAGCAAAAATAAATAAATTCATAGTACATCTAGAGATCAAATATGGGTATTCAGGTCTTCAAATCAGTCTAGTGCATTGAAAATGTATCTTGTTAACGAATATAATGTACTTTTTCAAGTGTGTTGTTTACGTACCACATTCAATATATAGTTTATCATTACAGTAAGTGTTGTATCCTAATCTTTCACCAGTGCAGTCATCAATACCATTGGATGAATAATAATAATAATAACTCCCAGGACAATGTAAATCTGTCAGTAGAGCAGTATGGAAACTTTCGTATTTGCCGTAAACTTTATAAGCACTGAAAGTAATTGAAAGAAATATCAATACCAAAAAAATCGTATGCCATAAAATCCGGTAAGAACTTTTTCTTCGGAATCTCATTTTGATTATACCTACACGAATATGGTAATGTATTAGCATAATATCAAAAAAGAATAAGAATATAGGGAAGTGCTCTCGAGCAATGAAATTGTAGAATTTAATGTTCCTTAATTGTGAAAAATGAATGTAAATCAAGTTCCTAGAAAGGGGTTATCCGATTGTTTATGCCTACTTACAGTTCAAAACAAAGATTTTCTATAAATGAGTTCCTACTGCCCTGAAGCGCAATTACTAGCCAGAACGGATTTGTTATTAAAACTGACTAAAAGATGAATTTAGAAACAAACAAAAAAATCAAAATAAGTTAAAAAAAATATCGAAGCAATACAAAAAAGGAAAACAAAACAGTTAA